CTACAATACAGTAGGTGACCTACCTGTCATTTGGGATAATTTTTTCTGGGGCCATATTTTCCCCAGGACTTTTTTAGGGGCATTCTTTCAGTGTATACTGCTGTAAAATAATACTTTTCTATGTTTGAAAAGTGTGTAAAATAAGAACAAAATAAGAACATTTTGAGCCTGAAATCGTGAAGTAAATAATTAACCATAGATATAGTCTCTTTGGTTAATTCTTTTAATATCTGAACCTTAAATAAATTCAATCAAAGCTGAACAAATGTTGAGGTTCTCAGTACATCCTGTTTAGATTTGATTATTGTTAAGTCTTGTCCTTTTTAATCTGCATACCTAGATAAGTTTTCATATCCATAAAGGTATTAGTAGAATTTATTAACTATATTTTGAGGGTCCTAAGTTGGAAGAACCCATTTCCGGGAGATTCGTTTAATGATATTGGGGGCCGCTATATATTCTATGAGGGAAAAAAATGTATGTACCAAACAAAGGTCCATGCCCACCTCAGGCCCACCATGATTGGAGCTGAGGTGATGACATTTTGTGGAATAGGCACCTTTAGAAGCCCGTAAATGGCACTGTCAGACTGCAAATAATAATCAGCAACCAAAGTTTAGGATTCACAACTTAACAATTCTTCAACAATAGTTAACATAAATAATAATCAGTCCATAAAAGCTAGATCTTATCTTTATGGGAACCATGAATACCTTATAGTGACATTAATGTGAAACTTGATCATTAAGTGGTTTTATTATGTTGTGTGTACTGAACCGTGGAGGTCATTCGGTCGCTGGTTCAATTCCTATTGCGGCTGCTGCTTCAGTTGGAGGGCTGATATGCAAGTTTCAAGAGCTCACTGTCATTTTCGGATGACACTTGAGCCGTTGTTCCTGTGTACAAAAATAATATCGCTGCTAAATATTCAGAAACATATGAATAGAAATACTCCCCCCCCCCCTTCCCACAGGGATTAGAGGAGGCTGCACATTGTGTATGGCAGTTACCGTTTCCAGGGTAACGAAGTGAAGCATTTAAAATTGTTATTGGCGATTCCATAATTATTGTTATTACAGAAAAAAAAGTTACCTTTCATAGTCAATAGTAATTAATGTTATTAATTAATGTTATTGTTTATTGAATTAATGTTAGTATTTGATTATAAATTAAATATAATATTTAATATGTGTTATTGTTTTATCTTGCAGGTGCATTCCTCATACCATATTTCCTATGTCTGTTGCTTGGTGGTATACCTCTGGTCATAATGGAGGTAGCCATGGGCCAGTATACCTCTCAAGGCGGTATTACCTGTTGGGCTATCTGCCCCATCTTCAAAGGTAAGATTTTATCATACACAAATAAATACAATAGATGCATTGTTTTTGAAATTTAAAATTAATTTTGTCAAACATTTGCCAATGGAACGTGAATTTCCTAGTATTTACGAGGAGGACAATAAAGTTATATTTCTACAGTACATCTATCGTATATATGGTATATATTTCATAAGTCTACCATTGCATTAATGTATTATTAAACTAGCATTTAAGTACATGTACATACTGTATACAGTATATAATATTTATAATATTATTGTTTAATAATAATAATAATATGCACTTGCCACTGAGAAAGGACTAGTGTTGTCCAAAATCTCTGGTTTCAATTGTGGCTGGTAACTTATGTTTAGTTTTTGCTTATCGATTTTATGCAGTATCTCTACTGATATCCAGCCATTGCTTTCCACAGGATTGTTTTTTCCAGTATTTTACCTTTTAATTAATATATAAATGTCATTTAAATATGTATAATATTATTATCTTTGTTTTCAGGTATTGGTGTGGCCAGTATTGTCATCATACAATTTCTCAATTACTACTATAACATTATCTTAGCCTGGGCTATCTTTTACATGTTCAAGTCGTTTACACAAGTGTTACCTTGGTCCCACTGTGACAACTCTTGGAACACAGCACACTGCGCCAATTTCACCTTCATCGCCGATGTCCGTAAACAGAACAATTCTCAGATTGAAATTGATGGCATGAATTATACGATTGTTGACGGCAAAGTAAATGGTACTAAATTGGTCCCGGCGGTCATAGAATTCTGGGAGTAAGTACTCATTTGTTTTTTGGCCTGAAATCATGGGAAAACTTTGTCTGTTTTAGTCTTTGTCTAGGACTGGTGTCATTGGGTTTTATACCCAAGTTTACTTGTATTTTTCACCTCAAGTGGAATTAGCTTGGTGGTTAAGATGCTAAAACACAACTAAAAACACCACACCCTAAGCCTCATTATGAGGCTTAGTTTATGAAGCATAACTAGGCTCTGTCGGAAAACAGTAGCTACTATGAATAGGTTATTACAGTATAAAGAAGAAATTAAGTTGAACAAGAGCCTGTGTGCTACTGGATTCAGGAACCTGTACCGGTATATTTTAATATGCCACCACATGAGGCATTCTTATTTCAACCTACGTACTAGTAGGTTCACGCGAGAAGTGGCTGGGTATGTCGGAAAGTCACAAAACAAAAACAAATAATCTTCTATTTTTATAGCAACAGCCTTTATTCATCCAACAGATACAAGGGTTAAATAAATGTTTAAAAAGTTTTTTTTAACAAATAAACTGTACTTGAAGCATGTTTTCAAAAGAAACCAGCTAATGTAACATGGTTTTTATTTTACATTTAGATCTGACCTTCGACATCACCCATAAGTTGTTGCACACAAGAACGTGCAAGCAAAATTTAGCCAAACAACATTTTTTAAAGGAAAAACTTGGGGAAAATTAAATAAATACTGAAACATGATGTCATATAAGTTTGTGAACATAGGCAAAAAAAGTATTTTTATCTGACTTTTATATATGGATGAGAATTTTGTTTCATGTTTTATCATTGAAAAATTATATTTAATGTATATTTTTAATGTTTCATTCCCTCCTTTAAAAGTAATAAATCGTTTCTTTTAAATAACCATTCCCAGCACACAATTTGAAGAATCGATGTGTAGGTTATTCATTCATCATATTTAAAGAATTTAAAAAGTTATCTTCCTAAGTTAACATTAATACCCATTAGTAACAATTTTGAGGTGATAATTTAAAAAAAATAAATGATGCAATTCAACTTTTTGTACATTTTGTGTCCTTTTTGAAGCACATAAAGTCAGTCCCAAGTACTATCACATGCATCTATAGACAAATACAACTTAATTAACTGAAAAATTTAATGATTTCCCTGGATGGAAACCTCGATCAATATTTCATTCATCAGACAAAATATTGATGATTTGGATCTGCTGTTTTTTTTATGTGAACAATATAAAAAACTGGTATCTAAGGCTCATTGTCTTCCCATAGTGCTTAGCAGCTGTAGGAATTTTCCATCATGTACAGTGCACCTTCTGGTGGTGGCTTAACATGATTGGTGGAATACACAATGACCAAAAAACATTAACATTTACTACTGCTGTATACATATAACATGAAACCACTTATTGTAATTGATTACTATATATAGACATGGCTTACTTTTTCGGTTGTGTAAACAAATGTTTTCTTTCGACGCATCCCTGGATTCATAGAATTTTGTACAAAAATATTGGCTTAATATTTTTGTTGGTATCATCGTTAAAATGGACTCCAAATGTCCCAATTAGATGCGCTTGTCATGAGTCTTTCGATCGTTTGTAGACATTTCAGTAATGAAAACATGTATAATACATATACGCTTCTATTAATACGACATACATTTGATACTAAAGCTGAAAACTAAACATATTAAATTTCCTAATAAATCAGTAATTCTATCCGATCTTTTTACAAAGATTAATGCGTTTCTGGGGTTGAATTTGTATTCGTTGCAGAATGTTAAATTCTAAATATTACACATCTTATTAAAGTACTTCACTGGCCATGGCATTATAAAAATATTTCAATGAATATTGAAGGACAGTGTAATGAATCCATCTTATCACAGTTGTGAGTAGAGGATAGAGATTCTCACTATCATTTGAAAAGGTTGAAATAAAGTGTTATAAAACCATATTATTAATAATGAAATTTCGTAAAGTTTCCAAAAAATCATGATTTACGCCAAGTACTATTAGGATCACCACCCATGTTTTTTTTTCAAATTGATTTTATTCTTCCTTCTAAATTTAATTTTAAAAAATGTCCTATTTTTAAATTGTAAGTTCAACTGAGAAATGTTGGCAGGGCAGTGTCAGCACAATGCAGTGTCAGTACTGATATTATATTGAATACATTGCCCCTACCCGCCTAATTTCCATGCAAGGGCTTTTGGGAACAGCCAAGCAAGTTAACTAGTTGCTGGAACAGAATTTAACAAACAGTAGTAATTTCCATAGATCAAATTAGGTGTTACTAGCATAGCAACCTAAACTAAAAATAGCTAAAAAAAATATATATATATTTTTTTCAAATGGATGTTTTCACTTGGCCTTATCTCAATTTGATATTAACTTAGCAGGAGATAAGAACCAGATCGTGGGGCAAGCTGAACATGCTTAATGGAAGCAAGTCTGCCTAGATCATTGATGATCTCACTTTTTATTGGTAACCATCTGTAAAAATTGGTATTTTCTCAATAGAACAATCATCTACAGGATAGAGCTTGCAACCCACTAGAAGATTAACCTTGAACCTTGATTTAATGTGGATTATGTGTAAATACGCAATACAGTCCACTTGCAAAATTGGTTTTGTTTAAAATAACTGGCCCTTGTGGAAGAACAGTGGTTAGCTACTGAACAGCTTATCTACTATAGTATAAAGAACAAATAATAAAATAATAATGAACAATATATATATAGCAACTCGCATTAACAACCTTGCGACCCTTGACTACAAAAATGTAATATTGTGTGAAAGTTTGCATTGCGAAGTAATAATAAAGTAAATGCTTATGGTATACCACATAGATAGTTCTGAAAGGAACTGTTGTTTTGTTGAGAATGTCTTGATGTTTCGATTGAGTTGCTTCAATCATTTTCTGGAAAATATTATCTACCCAGAATCTAAACAGGGAAAGAAATACTTAATTGTAAAAAAGTAAGACTCAATGTAAGATTTAAAAAGATCAGTGGAGACAGTGGTCTTTAAAAAATAAAAGAAATACTTAAAACCGCCCACATCAAAATTGGTTTTGTTTAAAATATCTGAAGATATGCTTCATTGAAAGTTAAGAAAAGAATTTTGATTGCATTATTAATATTTAGAATGCCGAATTTGGTATATAAAATTCTGCATCTAGTTTTACTGTAAATAATTTGAAACAAAATGAAGCTATAGGGTTCTCTTTGATTTATTTCATGGTTCCTAATGAATAAATTAATCTTTAAAAATTTGGTAAGCAATTCCAGTGAGTGCTTTTCCTTTTCCTTTGTTGCTATTTTTTTCAACCTTGGATTATATTGTTTCTGAAATTCAGAAATTTTTACAATGCCACACCTGTGACTCAGACATAGAAAAAATGTACAGTCAGCAGCAGACTAAACTCCACTTATGATGTCATTAAATATATGCATCTCATTTACATGTAATTTATATTCAGATGCTTTGTAGATGATCATTTTAGTTTCCCAATAGTTTCCAAAGTAGAAACAAAGACATTATTTTTTAATGACCCTGTAGAATTTGTGATTGGAAAAACAAAATTATTTGACATAGGCACCATTACTGTAGCTCTAAGAATATGAGCTGTGTTTTCGAATGATGAATTAATTAAAATTATGAATTTCTTGAAAAAAATGTGTTTAATCACCACATGGGGGCGCTATTCATGTACAAATGTCATAGGCAACCGCAATGGCAGTGTTCTGGATCCTTCTTTGTGATTGTTAAGTTTACCTAAACAAAAACAAGCATCATGCTTCCGTCCAACATTCTTCTGACTCTCATTCTCCGAATACCAATACACAGCTGTTGCAGAAAAATCTGCGCCAGCCCACTCCATGCACGTTGACAATAATAATAAAGAACTTTTAAGACCAATTAATGATAAATGCTAATGACATGCTTTAAGATTTGCTTATTTATCTTTTTCAGACAGTACTGGTTTTTAATAAACATGACATTAATTTAAAATTATTTCAAATGAAAGCATTAAGAATCATTCAATCAACTAAATTTTAAAATATGTGTACTATCTATAAATAAAAGGATTGACATTTACAGTTACCTTTCATGATCTAATGAATAAATAACAAATTTCTATGACTAAAGTAGGAATTAATAAAATTTCTATTTTTTTTGCAGACGTAAAGTTTTGAAGATTCATCTGTCTGATGGGTTTAATGATCTTGCTGGATTGAACTGGGAAATGGTTGGTTGTCTCTTCCTTGCCTGGGTTATCATCTACTTCTGCATCTGGAAGGGTGTCAAGAGCACCGGAAAGGTAAAACATTTGTCTCCCATGAACAGCGCCCTCTCCTAAATTCATCTCTGTTCGCTCAGATAATGTTGCACTCAGTCTGTCCTTTAATAAAAAAAATATGAAAAATAATAACACCCCTAAAAAAAATTCTAAATCACTAAATAATATATTAAAATTTAAAATTAAATATGCAAATTTGTAGGAATTGATTTTTGTGGCTTTAAGTATAAATTATGAATTTATAATATTTATTTAAGTAAATTACATTTATTTATATTATATTAAATAAAAATAAAACTATAAAGGATCGACTGAACCATCCAAGTCCTGTCACATCAAAGAAATTAAAATGCCCAAATTGATTTAAATTCGATTAAATATTTCAATTATTAAAACTGCTATTAAAATGCTACCAAATTTCCTGGTCACAAGAAAGAACATTTATCGGTTAATAAAAAGATAAAAGGAAAAAAAAAATTTACAGTCCCTAAAAAATAAGAAGTGATGTGATTGGCCAGGGTCGTTGAACTTTACCTGAGCGAAAGCTGTCCAGTTGAGATGAGTGTAATTGTACATTAAAATCTATTATTGAGTGCTTTATATGTCTTTATAAATTTTTACCTTTTCTAGGGTTATCAGAGCAGTTTTTGATCGGTCAACACACTGCATACTCCTCCAATTTTATTCCTTTATTATCCCGGTTTTAAAAAAAAATTTTTATTGTGAGCTAGTTTTCTGGAATGTTGGTTTGTGTCCACTATTATTCTCTTAGGAAGTGTATTTTAGTGTTCTGGTTTAAGAGAGACAGGGAGAGCATATGAAAGTAGCAAATTGAGTTCAGTTGAATATTTATATAATTATATATAATCATATTATATATTTCAGTTTTTATATATTACACACAGGTTATACAGATTCTTGGCATAGCTAAACAAGTTTCAATTTTTAATTTTTAAAATATTAAGTAATATTTTGGGTTGAAAGGTTTTATTTTATTGGAGAAGTGCATTGGACATTAAAAGGCATAAGATTAACATAACACAATTAACCGTTAAATGCTTGCTTGTATCCGGAGCATGTTCATCGGATGGAGGGTGTTTAGGAGTGGGAAGTGTGTAAAGGCGATATGATGACATATATTCTACTGGAAAGGTTTATGTATCAGCATCTTGGACATACAGTAGAAGAAAAACACCCAGGCAGTTTAGAATTAGTAATTGAAATATTTAGACATACAAAAATGCAATACACTTTATAGCAGGGGTGGGCATAAATTTCGGCCAAAAGGCCAAATTGAATGTTTGATTTAACACCGAGGGCCGCAGCCAAACTTTGATGTTTCCAGTGAGCTTCCAAAAACCTCCAAGCGCTGCTTTTACACCACTTTATTCTCAGTTACTTTTGACATATGATCGATGTCGGGCCGTAAAAAACTTGGTGTTTTCTAGCCAATGTTGCTTGGTGGGCCACACATATCGAGTTTTAATTCATTTTTGTGGGCCGCAAAAAAATAGCATTTAGCCCACCTGTGTTTTATAGAGAAAATAGAGTTACAGTTTAAAATAAATCATTGAGTTTTGTACATACTAAAATTAGTTATTATTATTAGATATAATTAATGTTTGTTAATTCTAACATAATTCTTGAGTGAAGTGGATAGAAACCTAGTTCAGAAATATTAATTTTCTAGGTATTTGGAGTATAATTTGTGATCGTAGGCCAACTGCTAAGATAAATATAAGTGTAGGTTTTTCAAACAAGATTCGAGAGAGGTACACCTGATCGGACAGTTTCAAAAACATAAGCAGCACCGCACTCATCACAAACCTGCGCAGATCCAGGACTTGCGCTACTCCGGGTATTACGCCACACACACTTTACCAGAAGAATCATCAACTTAGGGTTTTCACATCAACAAGTTTAACAAGGCGATGTACAATCTCAATACCAGCTCTCTGTGATGTAGACGATGCCTGTTGTGACGACCGTACTTTCAGGGAATCGTCCAGAACAAATAAGTTTTTTTGGAAAGGGAGAGCACAAACATACTGTATGGTTAGAAGAGGATAATAAGCAGATGATGTAATCTGTAGAAGCGATGACTGAAAGCCTGTAGTGGTGATAGAAGAATTGTGAACCAGTGAAAACTATTTAAATTCCAAAACATACTCTTTCATTTGTATAGTGTGTACAGTAGCTTATAATAATAGTCACAAAAGCTTTTGGGTACTCTTTTTCTCTCTGTGTTGGGTTGTATTTATTTTTTATTTCATTGAAGGTTTTTATTTTATTTTCATTTTGGAGGAGTGTGTAATTTTAAGCTCTGATTTTACAAACTGATTTACTTAGCTATACAGGTGTTCCCTTGATTTTACTTAGCATCACAGGTGTCTGGCAGAGGAGAAGGTACACGTACGTGTGTATTCAGTACACACAGTATACAGTGCCAGAAAGGCAGTATGCTTCTAGACAGTTCATCGGGATGCTTTGCAGTATGTAACGGTAAGTGACTTTTAAATTCATACGCTGTTTACCTTACAGGATGACCAGCGTTGGACAACTATAGAGGGCGTCCTTCCTTTTAATACAGGTCCGGCACCGATTCACCATCCAGCAAGTAGCAGCGACATCTGTTTATAATTGATGTGTTGAATCTAACCATATAACGATAATAATTAGAAGAAATTTTAATAATAACAATGCGCTTTGAGTAGCGTAATCATTTTCAGTTGCCGTTCGATGTGCAGACACAAATTCCAGAGTTACCTATTGATAAATAGCGGGCTTCCTCATTTGTCAAGTACATATTCTATTTTACAGCTTCTGACACACCTAAATCTACTGACATCACCTACTACCAATGGAGAGGGCTATCTAACAGTATATAATGTCTAACTCAACAGCACCAAATTTTATTACAGTGTTTAATGTGAAAGACTTCTAAAATATAAACATGGTCAGTATGAACATGCTTTCGGCTCGTAACTTTTTCTCCCCCCTCTTTTTTTCTCCTTGTGTACTCCAAAATCAGTACCAAACCAAAAATTTGTTTACATGTCTGGCCACTCACCGATTTATCTCTGTTATTTTCAGCAAAATTTGTGGCGCGATTTTCTAAGATTTAGCACTTGGTAATGGGATTTCGAAGTTGTCAGATGCGCAGGCGATAAGGGCATTGGTGACTGGCAGCCTTAGTGAGGGATGGCGCGAGCATTGATGCTATAGTGGACTGCTAGACGTAGTTATAAAACCAGCGAGCTAATGTAGTGTATTAGACATGGACAGTAGTACCTTGTACAAGACCAATTCCGATGTTTGGACAGTGACAGCGGTAATAGAAGATTTGGCCAATTGTAGCCAAGGAATCGATAGTGCTAATATTCAAACCAACATGAAGAGGTATCATTCGAGAGAACGAAATATCAAAACTGATCCGTAACGTAGATGAAATTACTCGTAGGAAGAAGAAGATAGTATTTATCTATTTGACCATCCTGAATGGATGAGAACTAAAATTGATGTATAAGCTACCAATTAAAGACTCTATGAGAAGACACTATAATAATTGTATAACCGGATATTGTCGTCAGTTTCGTGTACAAGCTCCATGTACCCGATGACTTGAGATGGAATGTGGACATAACGCATCGCTCTGATTACAAAAAGAAACGATGTTCAACGAACTTCTTCATTCTGTTATCCATTAATTGTGATCAATTTATTTGTTTCATTATATAACATGATAAAGGACATTTTTTGTTTCAGACGAGGATTCACATCTTCTATATATATTGTGATTATATCGTGCTATATATATGCTTTGCACGTCACCATTATTATATTGTATGCCTTGGGGAGGAGAACAATATATAACATTGATGCTGTTATAATGTATTTTTGGTACCATGTGGTATCATTGTTAGGGGAATAATAATTCATGGAATATTATTGTATTAGCATGCTAATACAGTCACCCCCATTTGTTGTGGTCTTTAAAAAGAAGTAATAACATTCCAATTTGCATGTCGAAATTATGTTATAGTAGTAAGGTTATTAATATGTTTGTTCTATAAAATGTTAGTTTAAGTTTTGCGTAAATTTTGATCGCTTTATTAACTGTAGTTTTCTGTTACCAACTTCAGGTGGTGTACTTTACCGCAACCTTTCCCTACGTCCTTCTCACAATCCTGATGATCCGTGCTGTCACTCTAGAGGGCGCTCGTGAGGGACTGATATTCTACCTTAAACCCAATATGACTAGGCTGGAAGACTCACAGGTTTGTTATTGTTTTATTTGTTTTTGTATTTAATAATTTGTTAAAACAGACTGAATGAATAATTTTAAAGCAAGGGAATTAAAAAATATTACTAAAAATTTATTGCCCCGATAGTAATTAGAGGGTGCCCTTTGGTCATCACTCCAGTTCACATTGCGCTGAGTAATTAGACAGATACAGTAAGTACTTTCTTTTTACTTCTGAGGGGGAAAAAACCGAATTTTGATTGTAAGATATGCTACTAATTGAAAGAAAAATGTTTCTGAAATGTCTTGATTCTTCACGGAGATGGGTACATTGATTTTTGGAAATAATCAGTGGTGAGTACGGTTGGTGAGTTTGAATTATTAAAAAAGTAACAAGAAATATGGTTGACTTAAAATCTGTAAAATTGCACAAAATTAACTCAAAGCAATGTTTTGTTTATTTAAATGGATCTAATATTATTAACTTTCAATGACACACAGAATGAAACAATTCAATTTTCACAGATTTACTGACTTTTTACTACGAAAATCTTAAATTTGATTATCACATTGCTTGAATTTGTTCCAAGTCCGTGTATAGTATAATTTAGTTAGTCAGTACAAACAGGATGCAACGTCTCCAACTGAAATAATTCTTCAGAGTAACTTGTAGGTTATTAAATTTATTTGATCACTGATATGTCACCATTTTGTAACTGTATTTATTTTAATCCAATAGAATTGTTAGTTGATCGTATGTTTATTTTCTTTATTGCGGTTGGCTCGCTACTGATCACCTAGATCACATGATCGGTTTGTAATAGGATATTCAAATAAACATGAAAATTAATTTAGCCCTTGGAGAAAATACGATTTTGAGAAAACTATCTTAAGATGATTAAATACAACCCGGATTTTGTGTCTTGGAATTAAATTAATAAAATTATCGGATGATTCTTTAATCATATCCGGGTTTATTTATTCATGTAATTATTTTCTGAAATTTGTAATTTGAGCTTCGCAGTCCAGAAAGTCTTATTTCAGGATTAGGGAATTAGGATTTAGGAAATTCAATTCTGTTTCACCGTAAAGAATATCATGAAATTCAGGGAAATAAATATGAATTATAATACAAACCACTATATGAATGATATTTGTTATAGCCTTAGGCGGTTTTGCAGTTTTTAACAATTTCAAATAATTTTTTAACTGGTTTAATACACTAGAAAATCCTATTTTGGATTTTCTGTGCGATGGTAACGCCTACGCAAGATTGGCGATTGAGTTACATAGCATTCGTTGATGAGGCCATTATATAGAGGGATGGCTCATTGAAAAGATCAGTACATAAATATTTACATGACATTATTATTATGCTATTATATAGATGGTAGTCATGGCGACACGACACAGTGTTGATACTTATTCAATGTCTGTCACACCTTGAGAATTCTAACAGCTGAAGAAATTTCTTAGAAGATGATTGAAATTGGCCTTCCACTATGCCAATGATTAGTATCTATGGTCAATATTGTTGTAAATTTGATCTGTGATCTATAGTAACGCTATAAATTGGTAGGAAACAGCATTCTCTTCAGGGTTGCTAATACTGTAGTGGCCCTGGGGATGTGCGGTGGGCAGAGCCAAGGTCCCAGTGGTTGCGTGGGAGGGTTAGGGTCTAGAGTGAAGCCCATACAAGCTACGACCTTTTAATTATTAAGTTGTCTAATTTAAATGATTAAGATAGTTGATGACATTTTTTTTATCAATCTTTTAATGTATTTTCCCGTAATGGCTCAGGCTTCTACAGGAGTCCAAAAGCCCCATGGGCCCATTGGACTTGAATAAAACGGCACAATTAACGTTGAAGCATAAACTATGCTTTTTAAGGTATTCAAATTTAAATGGAAGGGACTATGTTGTTAGGTGGGGGGGGGGGGGGGTTGAGATTTGTCAACCATACAGTAGGTACTACATAGGGGTGCATGGAATTTAAATTGAAAATTAGCTTGTTTTGTAGTACTGAGCTCCCATCTTTCTTCTCATTTTTTTCTTTGCTTTTTTCTTTCTTTTGTTCTCTTTCACTCTTTCCCTAGCCACTTTCCCCAGCAGCTGTTTCCCCTCCTAATGCTACTGATTTTCTCAGTAATGGTTTCGAAAATCATCTGACATGTCAGATTAAAATGATTACATACATCTTCAAACCTTCACAGGTATGGATGGATGCTGCTACACAAGTCTTTTTCTCGTACTCGATCGGGCTCGGAACCTGGTGTGCACTCAGCAGTTTCAATAAGTTCCATCATAATTTCTGGAGGTAAGAAAAACAATCCCCAGTCGGAGATGAGTAGAGTTGATTTTAGAGCATGGGTAATTATCCTCGAATGTTGTTGTATATCATCCATACTCTACACATGAATGTGACATTAGGGCTTCTTGTCTGTATTTTACATTGAATGTGGAGAGAAGTGTGGAAGATTATATTAAAGTATATATTATAGATGTATCAGTATTGAAAAATATTTCCATGAAAATAGCTTTCTTGTTGAAATGTTAGGAAGATAAAAGAATCGGGAAATACAGAATTAATATACACTTGCATGCATAGATACTGAAAGGCAAACAAAGTGTATACTGATATCGCCATTTTCAAATAATATTTACCATAAAGCGAACATTGTTTTCGTAACCTTTACAGATGGATACTTTTTGATAAATTTGGTAAACCAGAAAAAAATATATGTAATTGTAATATGGAATTTCTCATTTTGAAAGGTCAAGTAACCTATCAACTTTCAACACAGATTGAAATAGACATTTTACTACAAATTATTTCATGCAAAATATGAAATTTTATAGAATTATTTTTCCATCTGTTGGTGAGGAATATTATACCTACTGTATAATAATTTAATGCGAAAAATTTTTAAGGTCATGCATCAATGCAAAATTATTCTGCATATAAACATGTTTTATGCTTATTTAGATGTAAACAAGGCAAGCAGCCTAAGCAATGAATTTATAACAAATTTGATCGGTTATCCCTCTGAAATCTGCCAAATCCCACATCATTTAAAACTACCCTGTGTTTTGTTCAGTTTTTGTTGGAATGTTTGTATGTTTACGTGCCTTTATGACTGTTTGCCATTTTAAAGATGACCCCGCTAGGCTATGCTTTCCCGTTTACCAGCAGCCTGTAGCTTTTCTCATGAGGGCTAGTTGGCAGGGAGCCATGCCATTGTATATCTAACCCTGAATGTCAAAGGCCATGAAATTGTTGCAACAACTGTATATGCTCTAATTCATTAACATTAGCATGAGGTCCGGCCGCATAACTTATATTGCCAGGGAAAATATTTTTATTAGCGTCCATTATTTGTTTATGTATAACCAATATATTAATACAATAATAATATATCTGTATATGTAGCTCTCTACACAACTAAATCACAGTGCACTTTAGGTTATTATTTTAGTTATTAAATAAATTCAAAATCTTATATAACTTTGTTGTTATCTTTAGTAATTAGTTTAAATTTTTTTATTTATTTTATTATTATCCTAGTCATTAAATACATTCAAAAATCTTCTATCAACATGGTTGTTATTCTTAGTAAGTAAATAGGTGTATTATTTGAGTAAATATTTTATTATTACCTCAGTAATCATACACCCAAGTACCTCATAAATTTGTCATAGTTATTCTAATAGCAATAGTTTTATCAATATATTTTAATATACTGTAAATATATTATAATATAAATTTGAAAATGTTAATTGTTTATATATTTCCAATATCCTCTTCCTCCCTCTGTTCTTCTGACTTTAATGTGCTCATTGTTTCAAGAGTTAACACTAAATCCTACGGCCACAGATCATTTTTTTTTTCAGCTGCCACACTTTGGAACTCCTATAAACAAATTACCGACTCACCTTCAGTTGCTATTTTTAAGACCAAACTCAAAACTCAACTTTTTAACATCTAAATTTGCACAGTGCCTTAGATGTTTACTTCTGTTTAGTGATATTGGCGCATTATAAATTATTATTATTATTATTATTATTATTATTATTATTATTAATGTACTGTATGTGATTTATGATGGTGATACTCTTTGAGTAAGTTGGATGCCTGCCAAAAATGTCATTAGTGAAGTCTTCACATATTTTGTTTCATATCGCCTACTACTGTTTACTCAGATTCTTGTCCTTGTTAATCATTAGCACCATCAATGAAAACAGCAGTTCCACACTGATGATTAATATATAATCCTATCTATGATGTTATAATGTAAATATCATAATCCATACCAGTTTTTTTTTTGTGAATGATTAAGCGAGTAGTGATATATGTACGTTGCCTGGAAAAATATTTCGACCTAAGTCATGCCCATTTGGTTAATGTATAGTATCGCCATCATTCCTCCATGGTTTAGTAGCCTAGATCCAAACATTGATTTAACATCAGTAATTAAGAAATTGTGCTTCTAGGCAAGTGTGCTTTCTAAAAGCATGGTTTAATAATCCTTTTCTAATAGATGAGTATCTATTTTGCATATACTTGCAACGTGATAGTATATACTGACCTGTCCTTATTAAAAACCAAGGCCTCCTCAGTGTGAGCTTATAATGAGGCTGCTGTTTGTGAGTAGCTATCTATAACTTATTCTATAGTGTTTTGTAATAAAAATAATTTAAAAAAAATTAAATTGTAAATGTCCATTTGCATTTATGTATTAATTGGTTCTTTTTTTCTGGAAAAAAGTATGTAAATTAGGTATGTGGAAATTTGGTCAGTAATTGCCACAGTTTGTGAATGATTACTTTGCCTGCTGCTTTCTGTGAAAGAATATACAGTATATGAATCTGAAGGATAAATCATATAATTTATAATGAGTGGCCACTAGTATCATTGCATGCTGTGAAGGAGCTCGGAATTCCCCAATCATATTATAGAAATATAGATCCTAAATACTTTTAATGATGGTGATGAGTCACTGTGTGATGAATGAGAATAAAAGCGACATAAAATAAATAAATATAAAAATTAATATTGTTATCTTTGATACTGTTGAAATTTGGTTACTTAAGTGGACAAATTAAATTAGTGGAGTTAAATAGCTTGGTGGTTAAAATCCTTGCCTTCCAATACCAGGGTCCTGGGTTCAATTCTTGTGACACCAAGATTTTTTCTCACAACAAAAACAACTCCACTCCCTAAGCCTCGTTATAAAACTTAGTTACTGGGCCCTGTGGAAGAACAGTAGATATCTACTGAACCAGATGTGTGTTAAAATGGAAGTAAAGAAAGAATTCCATTTTTCATACTTTTTATTTCAACTTAGTATACCTTGTAGTATGTATATTTAATTTGTATCCTTTTCCTTTTGTTTTGGTATCATTTAGAGATTGTATCATTTTCATCGGGGTGAACAGTGGCACGAGTATTTACGCTGGTATTGTAATTTTCTCCGTAATTGGGTTCATGTCGGTGACGCAGGGTGTTCCGATTGATGAAGTTGCACGATCAGGTAAGATTGATATTTCTTTATCCCTTTAGAATAATATATAAAAAGGTGATTTTTAAACTGAAGTGCTCAGAGCAGGAATACATTCCCATGGACTGAGAAGACTGCAAATGGTACTCTGGGAAGACTAAACGTTTAATGGAAATATACTTATATATGTATCATGTTGTTTCAGTTTTTTTATCATGTTAATAAAAATAAAACATTTAAATATAGTAAGACTATTATATATAATAATGTAAAAAAGCTTTTGCACATTAGTACCCATATGAGATTCTTAAATATTACACTCACAACACATTACATCGATAATTAAACAAAACCATTGTTTTATTTTATTGTAATTTCAGGTCCAGGATTGGCCTTCGTTGCCTACCCTGAAGGTATTGCCCAGATGCCAGTTGCCCCTCTCTGGTCCGTTATGTTCTTCTTTATGGTACTACTTCTTGGAATCGACAGTCAGGTGAGTCCGATAGAAATTTGTAGAGAGGTGGAAGGATTGGGAATCTTGTTTGTCTTTTGATCAAGCATAGGTACCATATTCAGCATCATTTAGTAATTAATAATATATATTGTCCCCTGAAAATTACACAAAAAAAAAATCAATTTGAAATTAGCTTGCACATTTTGCAGTAACATACAAATTATTAAATTGAGCATAAAGAATATGGAATTGGAAATTTGTACCATTTTTGATAATGGTAATAAAAATATTAAATATTCCAGTGACCGGAAGTGTTGCCACTTTACACTGTCAAATTATGGGTAAATATTTTTCAAATACACTAATTTCTATGTTTAAGTTGATAATTTTTATGTTACTTCAAAATGAGCAAGTTAATTTCAAAAAAAGATTTTTATGATTTTTTTTCTTTGGTATTTTGCAGTTGACAAAACATCTTTAATTCCTTTCTCTTGTTTACACATTCAGTATTCCAATTTTTCTTCAAGAACATCTTTCACCATTGTTATGTGCTGTTAAAGTCTACATGTATTTTTAGATTGACTATTAACCTCAGATTTATAACAATTTTCCATTTAGATACCTAATACAACACATTCTGTAAATGTATCTGCTTAATTAACCATTCTGAATTCAATGTTTGTTTATATATCGTTGTGTGCATTAATCCCACCCAACTGTTGTGGGAAAGTGTTAACGAGAGAAACATTTGTGAGTTAGTACCATATCCGTTGTACTAACAGATTTCAAGGTCACCAGAACCCTCTGTAAATACTGCCAGTACAAAATATATCCAGATTGGCATTAATCCAAAAATAATTTTTTGGGGCCCAGCAAATTTGATCTACGTAGGTTTCATACATGTTATATTCTAAACACGTAACACATTGTTTATGTAAAGAAATGTTAAAAGGTCATTCACTTTTGTTGAACCTACTATATCTGCAGGGTATGTTAATTATGCATTCAGAAAAATTCCTATAATACTCATTTGCATATTCCGCTTCCAACAAGCTGAGATTGCGGATTTGAGAGGTCAAGGTTGGGATCACCCTTTAGGATTGATGCCAAGTTCAACGCATGATTACTTTTTATTTCTCAGCTGAAAAGATAGATGACAAAACAAAATAATTTAAAATATTTGAATAACAAAATTAATGGTTAATATTCTCTGCCTGTTATTATATTTTCAAAAAAGTAAAAACAATTGGGGGTTAGTGGTTAAGATGCTTGCCTTCCAATCCCAGGGTCCTGGGTTCAGTTCCTGTTAGTGTTGCAGGATAATATATTTTCACAACCAAAACAACTCCACTCCCTAAACCTCAAATTGAGATTTAGTTTGTGTAAAGCATCGTGTGTGTATGTTAATCTTGTGAAAGGGATTGTCACCTATAAGTAGGACAGTGATATTGTTCGCTATTGACAATCCTTGGTGCATGTGCCTAAATAAAATAAAATTTTTTAAATATAAATAAAGTAGGCTGGTTGGAAAACAGTAACGAAATATCATATGAAAAGGAAAAGAGAATACAATTAAAATATAGAAAATGTATATGATTATTAGGTTTTGACATTTATTTCCTAGGTATCTGTAAAATATGGATTTGAGCATGGGACCCAGAGACTAGAAGGTCATAATGGTCATGAATAATATAAAATTACCTGATAGGATCTTCCTGGTAACATTCAGCATGCAATGTATTCTAGTATACTGTAAGATGCTACAAAAGTGGATAAATTATTGAAAATTAGATAGCCAATTAAAAAAAAATGAAACATGTTTATTATTAAAATTTTTGAATAAGAAAATGTTTACCTTTAAATTTCTGAACATGTACAGAATTGTATAAACTATATAGGCCTGGCCTAGGAACAAATACACACAGATATCAGATGGAAAGCTTTTCCAAAGAATGTTTTATTTGGTATTTTAAAATAGAGCTATCACAAAAAAGATAAGATTATTTTTCAAGTACACCATGATGTACAGTTCTTATCATACTTGAAAAATATTGAAACAAGTATGATGTACGTTCTTATCAATGATTTTTTTTTCCTGTAGTTCGTCGGCGTGGAAGGACTTGTAACAGCTATTGTTGATCTGTTCCCCAACTACCTTCGACGTGGTTATAGGAAAGAGCTATTCATTTTGGGGGTTTGCATCTGGTCTTTCTGCATTGGTTTGACCATGGTCTCTTACGTAAGTATATGTTTAAGTTTTTTTTTTTATTCATGGTTCGATTGTGAGCCTCTGATCTTGAATTATCTAGTGTTTAATGTAAACATCGAAGACTGTTAATGTCATTAATGTCAGTTCATTATCATTTATTCAAAGAGGAAGCCGAGAATAATATTTGTTTTTAACAACTTTACAGGTCAAAAGTGTGTTAAGCCAGCAAAAGTGTTGGATCTTGACCAGTTTTATCTCGAACAAACCAGAATCTACTGAATAGAGCATTGCAGGAAGTAGTCTGCATAGGGGTCTTGATATGCTAATATTTGTCCTTGAACATAATAAAAAAGAAAATCCAAAAAATTATCACGTGTGAAAGAGTAATTTTTATAGCTTTTGAAAGCTTGCCATATCCCCCTGTAACCCTACCATAGTTAATGCTACTGGCATGGGATTCTGTGTTTTGCCAAAATACATCAATCATATTCAGTGGCCTGATTCACTAGTGGTATATTATGCAATTTGTGCAACGGTTGCAATTTACGACTTTTTGCTGGTGGTTAAACAACAGAACATTCTAGATCTGTGAATTGTTACCCGCAGCTGGCTACAGTATTAGTAGTTCAGGGTTTGATTACCGCTCATTAATTATTTGAATTAATTAACTAATTAGGTCTCTGTCATTGTGCACATAAGTGAAATATCACATGATATTAAATATGGCTCTTATTAAAATTGATTCAGCGCTGTTTATGTATAGAATACAAAGCACAATGTTATATTTTATATATATATATATATATATATATATATATAGATATATATATGTATATATATATATATAGATATATGTATTATGTAAAGGCAATGCAACTTCATTTTTAGTTTGTGTTGTTAGAATTAATGCATTTTCAAAAGTTCAAAAGATTACATCATTTCTATGACTGCAAAAAACAACTGTACTCCCTACGCCTTACAATAAGAGCTGACAAAGCATTTGTAGGCCCTCTGGGAAAAAAGTAGCTTGTTGCACAACAATCTGGGCAGTGACAAACAAATAGGTAACAAGGTTAGAACAACCTACAAGGAATATTTTCAGAAGGTATTAATAGTTTTGCTTATTGCGCATATTGTAAAGTGCGTCAAAAGCTGTTGAATTTATCAATATTATATTTGTGGCAAACAATGCTACATCTCAAGGGTCAACTATCAGCCTCTGCTTTGTGATGTAAATAGAGAGGAAAAATACTGAAAACAACAGCTTTGTAAGAAAAGTGAAAGCTTAAAAGCGCAGAATAAACAGGCAGAATATGCTTGCGTTTTCTGTCAACAATGGTCTTTTGTTTGTGTAGAGTAAGCAGGGTTGGTAAAAGTCATAGAGAGAATGAAAGACACATACAAAGGAGTTTAGCAATGAAGGATGAAAATATGTAGACGTGAATAATTGTTAAATAAACAAACAGAGGCCAGAATCTTCGCCAAGCCATGAGTCTCATAGTGCCGGAGCGAATCCCCAGATTCTTGTGGCATGAAGCGGATGAGAGTGTGATACTCCCCCTGGGTGTGATACCCCCCTGGGTGTGATACTACCCTGGGTTGGATGCTGGTCTCATTGATACACCTGGGTAAACTGAAGCAATATAGACAAAATGCCTTGCTCAAGGACACGAGCGAAATGCACAGTGAAGGATTGAAACTCCCGACCTCAACGTTGGGAAATAATTAATTTCCACTAGGCCAAATTTATTCCACACGTAATCTTATAAACCGCAGCAAGTTTTAGGGGTACACCTAAAGTTGATAATTCACTATGTTTTCAGAAAATCTCTTCAGATTTATTATTAATATTATTACTGTATTATAATTTGTAATAGAGTTTATTCTTTTTTTGTCTTGTAGGGAGGAATGTACGTCTTTCAGCTCTTTGATTATTACTCTGCCAGTGGTTCTGCTCTTCTCTGGATTGCATTCTTTGAAGCCATTGCTATCGGTTGGGTTTATGGTACGTATATATTTTCAGTGTACTCAAGGGAAATTAGTAGCAGAAGTGAAATAAATATTTTATCAAACATTAAAGGTTAAAGATTATATTATAGGTTAAAGATTATATATTATGATACAATTCTAGAATCTCAAGTGAAAATATGCAATTGGAAATACAAGAAAATAATGGGAAAAAAAAATGTTATTTTAAGTTGAAAGACAAGATCTAATAGGGGGCGGTGCAGTGTGTCTGTCTTTAAATGCTGTGCTTGCGCGAATAAGCGCCCCTCTCGCTTTTTGTATTTTTTGTATTTTATAGGCTACATATGTTGGATTATTTAAAATATGATTATAATAAAGAAAATTGCATTTTTTTTTCTATTGGTTCACTGCATGGTGAATTAGTATTTGTTGTTTAAAACCATGTTCATTAGTCATTCAATCAATTGTAATTATCAATTCCCAGTCTCCCTATACATGCATTTTCATTCCCTACTTTAATATGCAGTCTTAGGCAAACACCGATATGAAATATGATATTGCATATTTATTGGAGCCTGTTATTCTAAGGCAATTATCTCTCCTGCTATCATATTACAATATGTAATGTAACCATAGAATATTAAACTAATGATTATGGTGTGAAAACATCCTCATAAACATAAATTTGTAGTGGAACTGTAGTTTTATTTCATTATATATAAATATTCAAATCAAATGCGTTTTTTTGTGACTATAACGTTCAGTGGGTGTTTTGCTGCTGTTTGTTCTTTCAGTTTTTCATTTGCCTGTTGAGAATTATATTTAGTGTATATTATGTTATATTTAATGATTTTGTTGGATCTAAAAGAAGTTCACTTCTTGATAGATCCATATTTTTTGTAGCTTTTTATGAAACTATTGTTTTGCCTACCCACTTAAAACAGCGTTTTATCGTCGGTCGGGAACAGTGGCGGCTCTAGGATATATTTTCTGGGGGCCCCTAAGCTGTACGACAGGGGGACTTGAGCTCGTAGGCCGGAGCTGGAAGAGGTTGTGAGGGGGTTTCCCTCCTGAATGAGATTTTTTTTAAAGAATTAGCAACCTCTGGATGGCCGGAAATTGCACTCTCAGACTGTGACTTAATCCCTCTCTACCCCCGCTGGCGCCGCCACTGGTTGGGAATCCAGACTATTGGGAATCCCCTTTTTGTATTGCAGTTTACATATACACTGTTTAAAGCTCTGTTCAAATTTTCTTGACTGTATGCCCATAAATAATCATGATGTACTTATATGGTCATGATATGATGCTGTCATGACCAAATTTAGGCATGTCAAATGTTTTTGTCAGATACAATTTGATGAAATGAATTTACAAATTATTTTTCCAACATTTTTTCTTCCATCAGGTCCTAATAATTTCTTGGATCACTTCGAGGAAATGCTTGGATTTAGGGTCAAGGGTTACTGGATTCGTATTTGTTGGGTGTTCTGCACACCTGCTTTCGCTATCGTAAGTCGATTTGTCTTTGGTTATGTAATAATTATATAAGTGTACCACAACTGAAATCACTGAATTTTGATTCAATAAATGGCTCATCAATTTATTGTGAGCTTGTAACTGTTATCTCATGGTTTGGACTGTTCACTCATGGTTTGAACTGTTTATTCATGTGTTTAACTGTTAACTTGTGGTCTGAACTGTTAAACTGTAACTGTTTACTCATGGGTTTAACTGTTAACTTGTGGTTTTAACTGTTAAATGTTTAACTTATGGTTTGGACTGTTCACTCATGGTTGTAACTGTTTACTCATGGGTTTAACTGTTAACTTGTGGTTTTAATTTGTTAACTCATGGTTTGACCTGATAACTCATGTTAAAATGTTAACTCATGAGGTGAACTGTTAACTCATGTGTTTAACTGTTTACTCATGGTTTGAACTTTGTTAACTTGTGGCTATAACTATTGTATTTTCAGGCCATCTTCTTGTTCAGCTTGATCAAGTACACACCTCTTGAGTACACCTCATTCCATGAAACATACACTTATCCTACTGGAGGCTATGTGTTCGGCTGGATGCTGGCAATCACCTCTATGCTCATGGTACCTATCATTGCCGGCATCCAGTTTTATCAGGCTGAAGGAACATTTTATGAGGTAAGATCATTTTAAGGCATGAATATGCTAATCAAGTTTGTTAAGGTTATGCTGATGAGACTGCTTGTGTGTGTGGAATGAATATTAATGTGATGATGGGTGTGGTGTGATTGTTTTATATATTGATTAGAACGATACAGCAATGCAGATTTTAATTTATAACAATGTTGTCATTTATTTCACTTTAGCGTTGGGAATACGTAACAAAATCAAGACTGCCACCTAGAGAAAAGAGCCAGGAGATCTTTGGGCTGGAGAACCGAATCGAGAAGGGCGATGCGCCAATATCAATCATACCCCAGCTATCAAATGCCGGTAACATCACGCCACCACCATCATATCCCGAGGCTATGTAAGTGTATAAAAATTTGGATGAGTGTAGGCCTATAGAGTGTATTTTTGCTTGAAATGGTATTATTCACTTTTTTTTTTCTTGCATCTTGTATTTGTTCCTTTTTAACTGTGCATGAAGAGTGTATATAATATATAATGTATATTTAGCTTGGGAGTTTTTTTTTTTGATATTCTGAAATAGCGCTAAACCCGTCCTTATTTTTACTGGCTTCTTTGGAAATAATGTACCTCAGCTATCTGCAGGCTAAATTTCACTTCATTCTCTTGGCTCGATTCAAATCAGCATTTCTCAATCGATTTTAGGCAGTATTCCAGTCATTGAAACCGAAACCCTTCTGGTAGCACCCTAGAAATATAACATCTTCTCAAAACTAAATTTCCGTACACAGCCGTCCCATGGCAAAACAACGTAACTACTATTAAATTTTTGTGCAGTTGCGTTGTTTTGCCTTGGATCGGCCGTACATATCATTGACATTATTAGCACGCCATTTTTTTATTCTTTTGATTGAGTTCTGTTGCACTTTTGGTACTAGAATTTTTGCTGAAGCAATTTTTTTTATTGTTTTCTAAGAGGTACCTCGTAAGGGGGCCGCTGAATATTCACTTAAAAGTAATTTTGTGTAAATGATGATAATTATTTGATAAATTTTCATTATATTTATACTGTATAAACTTTAAAATCTAACAAGTTTAGTGAGCAATGAAGCTAATGGACCTTTCCGGAGGCTGTCAGTCAAACTGACCTATCAGAAAAGGACCAGGAATATGTGCATGTCTAACCATAGAGGTATTATTGAGAAGGAGATCACTTGAAAAAGCATACGCGCATGCAGCGCTATGCAAATGAACCAAGATCAAAGCTGCCGCAGCGCGTGAAGGACGTTTGCGCGATGCCTTTGAAGTCTAATGTTTTACCCGCCACCAAATGCTCAGCATTCTTAGATTACCAAAAAATAGAACATGGCGAAATAGAGAGCACGTTCTTTTCTCATTGCGCACTACTTACAGTCAATCACTGTGGCTGCGCAGTCGTTTCTACAATGAAGCTAATACATTGATCTTTCAAGAAATACCAAACATAATTATATTTTCTAAGAAAAGGAGTTTCAAATTTAATGAAACATTTACATCAGCTTTAAAAGTATGGTATACTTCTAATTTTAACAGATATTAATTAAGGAATGATGGAGGATTATAATAAACTAAGTCATTTTAAAGTTAATGGGGTTAACTATTCGAAAATTCAATTCAAAATCAGAGTAATTTTCAGTTTTACGCTGCCTTAGCTTTATAGTCGAACCAATCGATCTTTAGACAAAATTATAATGAACACAGAAGTAATTTTAACAGGAATATTTTGCAGAATCTGTTCCTGAAATATACACATAATAACATACTAAAAGTCCAAAAAAATCCAATCAGGGGAACATTGTTCATTATAAAGATATTTAATGGGTTAAAATTAAATGCTTTATCGCACAACTGCTGTGCTGAAGCGTATAAACGCATGTCGTTGCCAAGATGTTGCTAACGAAAAAATGTGAATTATAGAGTAATACGCCCGCGCGCAATCCAAAGGCGGGGAACACATTGGTTTGTCGCGTCAAAGGGATCTGTTGCCGAGTGATCTCCTTCTCAATAATACCTCCATGGTCTAACAAGCACACGTGTGGTCCCACAATGCATGTGTTTGCGTATGTTTTAACATTGTTGTTTTGTGGACCTTAGCAACTTTATCCCAAGGGGCGTGGCTTAGCGGAAAGGTCCATTGTGGCTTGAGTTGGTTGGTGATTTCAACTACCATACTCAACCTTTGACTTTTAACCTTTAACTTGCCTCCCCAAATTCATCTAGGCCATACATGCCGGCCATAACAATGTGGCTGTAAACGCCAACAGTGAAATTTTATGAGATGGAATGGTGAGAAGAACAAATCTGTTTCACATTCTTCTTATTCTTTATCATTGAAATTCATTTGCTTGTACTTCCAAATGTCTTGTCATAACTCCTCTTTTGCAAGGATTTATGAATATAAATGAAAATCATAAATTGTAATTGAAATTGTTTAAAGATATATATGCTGTCTCTTGTAATATATGGAAAATAGTATTAATTTTGTGATTGAATCGAATAAATTTTTAAATTCTAATGAGTCACAAATGTCTTGTCATATCTCCTCTTTTGCAAGGATTTATGAATATAAATGAAAATCATAAATTGTAATTGAAATTGTTTAATGATATATATGCTGTCTCTTGTAATATATGGAAAATAGTATTAATTTTGTGATTGAATCGAATAAATTTTAAAATTCTAATGAGTCACAGATTTAAAAAATAAGTTAAAGCCAACTTAATATCATAAATGGGAATGGGGAAATACATAATAAATTTTAAAATTCTAATGAGTCACAGATTTAAATAATAAGTTAAAGCCAACTTAATATAAAAAATGGGAATGGTGAAATACCATCCTCTTAACTATACCAAATAGTCAATTAATTTACTGAATTTTATTTTTCCAAGACAATTTACGCAATGCAGATAAGACAGCATATTATATACAAACTAAATTCAAATTTATTTGTTTATGTGTATCAAATAAAACTTTGGATTTAATCAAACATTTTCATATTTCCCTGGGAATTTTGAAATGAAAACAGTTTGTGAATGCATTTATGGTTTTCAATTTTGTATTTCCTTATTTTTGTGAATTGTTTTGTGTGAATGCTGTTAATATGATGGGATTTCATTAACAATATTTATTTAAAGTCCCTACATCTGCTCTTTCCTACATTAATTGTATTCAATAAAAAAATAATATTCAAATGAAAGCTAAAGATGATTGTGGATCGTGTTTTTACTGTCGGTCTAAACAATAGAGTTTCTGCTGAGTCATGGAACCATGTGACCCAGCTTTGTTACCGAGCAACAAGTCTATACAGCTGAGTGCCCCAACAATTTCCAAATCTTTTTCAAACTACTGTATAAAAACCTAGTCATTTTTTTTTATTAAAACCTAATAAGAAGAAAAAAAAAAAGCTCATTCATTATATTTATCTGAAAGGTATTTCAGTATAAATGTTACAAATAAAAATATACGGTTGTCCGATTTAGTTATAATATACATCATTTCCGTTTAATGACCTTGTTTCCATGAGTGGGTTGGTTGGAGTCAGTTAAGAGGCTATGGATACTATCTTAGTTGTGGAAGCACTCAACCATATTGACCGCTTTGGTAGCTTTGCTAGGTAACAAAAATGTGCCCAATGCTTTTGTGACATCAGCAACATTAGTACTGTAACTAATATTTTGTTGTTAAAACTACAGTACTAGGTGATGGGAGTGCATAAAGGTACATTAAAAATAGAAGTTATTTGTGAAAACCCATCATTTTTAGCCATTTTGTTTTAAATATGGTCCACAAGGAGCCTGGAATAACATTTGGTAATGAAATTGGCAGTCTGTCTAAAACAAGAGTGAATTTCCACCTCCTTGCTCAGGCCACAGGTTGTGCAAATTCCTCAATAAAAATGTTCTCCATTTTTTTCTTATCAGTTCTTTGCAGGTCTTATTTTTATGCTTATACCACTTGTCTGTATAGATGCTGTACTTAATGTTTGCACTTTATATTTCCCAAAACATAATACTGGTACTCATAAAAAATAAATCTGGTCGTCCTTCAGAGGGCAGTGTTGTTTTAATTCAATAATTTACAAGATGTACTAATTGGGTATTGAGGAAATAATCAGTGCTTGTTTCTGTGGTGTAGATGAGCTCCATGGAGAATGGAAGTCTGGCTTTTGCATGCTTTCTTATTATATAAGGCAGATTATAATTATGTAAACAAGGCAATTCTTCGATTGGTTAATGATTAACATTGTCTATTTGAACAAAGCATCACTTTGTACTACAGTACCCATGCTCTAGGCTGGCCAATCAGAGAAGAGATATGATTATAGCTAAACATACAGTCTTAATTGGGTTTGGTTAATATATTATTATTAGTAAATACCAAGTATTTACTTAGAAAACACAGTCCAATACACTGTGGTTGTGGTTTGGTCCTACTCTTTGTTATTCAAATTTGTTTATAAATTTGATCTTTAGACACAATTGCATGCTAGTTTTAGTAACTTTTAACTTGCGATTTTGATCAAAAACATTAAAAAAAAAATTATTTTTACTCTATTATATGAATTAGTCAAGCCTTTGAGAATGACTTAATTACAATTTCTTTAATCCAAAGTGGGTTAGACCTCTTTTAAGATAAAATTTGTTCAAACTTTTTCTAATGTACCTGTATTATCCCCATAACAAATAGCGTCTTTTATCTTTCAGTGATGCGTCAAACGCTGTCTAAATCTGGAGAATCGGATATGGAAGCACAGACCACAGATGCTTTCCCCAGGAAATTAACATTCTTTGCTGTAGCACGTACCTTGTCTGTAGCCAACTGGCAGTTGTCAGCATAGCGATTTTTTGCTTGAATTTCATCAGCGTAGCAAGTAATATCCTATCCAATGCAACTTATCCCATTGTTTTCGTGGTAATGGGGTGTAAATGGACTATTTAAGAATTTCTTTGACTGTATGAATTTTTTAGTAGAGTGATACTCAATATAAATTGTCTCACCGAGTACTACAACTTAAACAACTGCCAACATTTTGTAGTTAAATCCAAAAAAGGGATTTTGTCTTAATGTTTATGCAAATCAATCTGTCTCAAATCAATCTCTCAAATTATGTATCAAAACTGCCATTTTGAATTACAATACTATTCTAAAATTTAATTTCAGTGGTATGTAAGTTAGGAATAACATTGGAAACGGTATGTTTGTAAGCTTTAGGCTACACATACGCATGTGTACTCGCTCTTCATTTGCCTTCCGAAGATTATTGTAGGACGTTGGAAATGCTACTGAAAATGGGATTTATGGTCTTTGAAGCATTTTCAAGCCTTGATATGTGCTTCTTTAGCCATTTCTGGGCTTTCCTGAAGCAAATTCTGAGCCTAGGTAAAAGGTTTCCTTAGGATTATGAAAGCGTTAAGGAATGGTACTTATGAAGGATTATTGTAGCATTTAGTGTTGATAGCTAATCTCCTCAATTCATTCCTGATCCAAGTTAAATCTGTCTGAGGATTATGGTAGTTCTGAATATGGTACTGATGAATAAATCACCTCCAAGCGATTTCTGAGCCATGCTAACCTTCTTATTGGGGATTAGTGTATTAAGAATTGTGCTGATGGTGGGATTATTTCTACTTTATCCATTTCTGATCCAAGTTAAATCTGTCTGAGGTTTGTGGTAGTTCAGAATATGGTACTGATGAATGGATTATTTCTCCATCAAGTGATTTCAAAGCCATGATATTATCCTTCTTAATCTTATAAATGATTAATGTGTTAGGAATTGTGCTGATGATGGGATTATTTCTTCCGAAGCCTTTTCTGAGCTAAGATAAACCTCATACATTTAAACAACATATAGTTGGTTGATATATATATATGCAAATGAGAGCAGGTGTAAAATTTGAATTGATATGTGATTAGTTATCAATTGGTCAGACACACAGCTTAACATATGTAAATATAGCTTACTGTTTAGAATTAGTTACACAAGGAGCAAATAATTATGTAGATTATCATCTGACCAGCACATTATGGAGTGAAATAATAACAACACGAAATCTTCATATTAGGTAAAAAGGGTGACTGATTATCTATTTTAGCCCGGAACATCAAATTTATTATAATACCATGTTTGATACTGTCTAGAATGTATATTCTATTAAAACAGGGTTTACTCTATAAAATTTAATTTACATCAAAGTACTGAATCTGTTGTTTTATATAATACTATTTTTGCTTAAAATTCTACGATGATTTTGTTGAGTGGATTCTTGCAATATTTGTTACATAAAAATGATTGTTACTTTAGAGATTTTGTTCCAATTTGTTTTTGTTTAGGATGTAGAAACTGCCTTACACTTTCAGATTGTATATAGTATAGCACATCGGTAGATTGTATGAGATTGCTGACATGATTCTCTGTAGTTTTTGTTAAGTAATTTATGTGTTATTGGTTTCTTTTTCTATCCTGATTTAAAATCAGTTGTTTTTGAAATCTATTTTCAACTTCTCCTTTTTAATAATATACATGCTCCTATTTAAGACGGTGTAATAATATATTTGGCAGTGTTTTGTCAGAAGCATTTTTAATGCCTTTATTTGTAAGTAAATTTGAATAGACAAAATCTAGTTTGTATATTTTGTGATGTGGTGTTTCTAGATAGATGTACTGTAATCTATTCTAACCAGTGTTTCTCACACTTAAATCAAGGGGCTACAGATGGGTTTCATGTTGGACTAAAAAACTCCTTTGATTTGTAACTCAAAATTAATAATGATAAATAATGATTTGGTGATTTTTATAAACTCCATTTACAATCTAGCCTAGACAGGTGGTGTAGTGTATATACTAGAGCTAATGTTGTACCTACTGTTAATATATTTGGGATGTGGGCCCTTTCGGGGAAATTCATACATATCCTCATGATTATGTTAGTATTTTGAAAATGTTCACTCATTGTAATTCTCCACTATTGCACTCCTATTTGAGGGCACTACATAGTTAATAGTTTAGGAATATATTGAGCAGAATACTTACGTAATATTAAAGATATTTATAGCAAATAAATAAAAAATATGTGGACGTTTATTCTCCCGAATAATTCTTAAATGCGGTATTAACAAGAAAATCAGGCATGTTCTCGAATAGTGTAATTCGATGATCAGTGATTACTCATATTTGAAAAGATATGATAATGATACTAGTACTAGATGTAAGGTACCATCTGTATGTGTTGTGTGTGTTACAGTATATTAGTTCAAATTTTAAGCATTTTTTCATGTTATAAACACCCAACAGCTGTACGCCTGCCGTGTGTATGGTACCTTCCACGAAATTTGCCAGTAATTTTATATTATCGATGCGTGCAGCACCATGCATACCCAAACGATCCTCCCAATCACAATTAACGCCCTCTGCGTTGGGTGTAGGTACCTTGATTCAAATATAACGCAGCTACACTAGTGGCCTTATACTGTATATGTACTTCTATATTGTTTGTAGCGATGGTCTATTGAATTGCAGAGTTTCAATCTCATAGTTTCAGTCATAGTAATATACTACTTTACTTCCATTTTAATCTGTATACTGGGAATCCATATTAAACGGAGCACACACTGCGGGGCAATCGGTGAATACATTCCACTCTGTGCGAGTGCTTGGTGATGCAATGCCCTGCTCTGGTTGTCAGCAATCTGAGTGGTTCATCATTAAAAAGTGGTTGCATGTGCCTTGTCGTGTTGTGTTTGCAATTGAATCGCAATGTGTGCTTGGAAGATGGATATATAAATGCTAAGATCCTGAACTACTGTTTTTAGAAGATATTTTAGAACTATATATATTAATTTTAATTTGAATTGATAACACTTAATGGTCCATACATACAAAACTTCATTGATATTTTTGTAACGGTACATTATATAAAAAGCGATAGTTATTTTATAATGATTCAGATAAGATTATGTATTTACATTGTAAAATTCCATAAAGCTTTGCCTACACTATCAAATTTCATCAAAAAAGCATCACATAAAATGTGATGGAACATAAAATTGAACTTTTTTTGATGCAATTTGATAATATGTGATATGACATCATCGTACCCATATATGGGCACATCACATTGTTTTGTCACATAAAATTTGATAGTTTAGATAAAGCTTTAGTCATCTCATTAGTTATACACAGGATTATTGTTTTTATACGATCAAATATTACCTTGTTTTTTTTACCTTTCAATATTTTTTCCCTGTAAGTTTGATTAATTCTAGTTGTGATAATGTGTTGTATACTCAACGGAGCACAGGGTTTCAATGCTTGTGGACCATAGCCGCTTAATCCCTATATTGAATAAAATAGTTCAATGTCAAAGCTATGTTAATATGTATTTGCCTGTTTTATTGAAAGGAGTGAACCAGTTCTACATTTCTTCCATGAAGTCCAAAGAAGTGCAAGCACGTATTAAACAGGCACATAAACTGGGCAGTGACTGTGTCGGACGGTCGTTGGGTGACGCGATGACATCGGGATGTTTTCGTGGCCCTATGGCCGGGTCCCTTTAACTTTTTGTGGCCTTATGGGTCTGTGGCCCTACGGATTGCCACACGACCAGTGCATAAGCTTGTTGAAAAACATGTTTGATGCAGCACATATTGAAGAACTGTGTGTGATCATTTACAGATTTTTAAGCGAGGCTGCAGTGTTGGAGTTGTACAGATGTGTTGACTGTACTTCAATTGAGTGATTGCCAATATAGTTAGGTGAATTAAACATTTTTCTATGTTTGTCATCTAATTTAGACAATATTTGTGTATCCTTTTCTTTATAAATAGTACAACTTTTATTCACTTGCGTTTGCTACGTTTTGTATCCAATCTGGATGTTTTTCAAGCAGGTGTGTGTTAGCTGACGGTATCATCGGTATAATATGCGCTATTCCCACAAACATGTGATGTTTCCTCAACACATGTTTACGTGTGGTTCTTACGGCTTGGTAACAGCAGTGGCGTATCTAGAAGTCTTGAAATGGGGATGCTGATGGGGTGGGGGCTCGAAGGTGAAGTGGTGGGGTGGGGGAGATTCGATGATCAGTTGAGGGGGGCGGCAACTCTGAAAATCAGGTGATTTTTGGAGATTTTTTGGGGAGCGAGTCATTTTTTGAAGGGCGTGCGCCATAAAAACGCCACTGAGTAACACTGTATCCAAGGAGCGCATCTAAGCTGAAAGATTCATACTCCATATGTTTTTCCTCCGGAGCCAGATTTTAAAGAACTAAGTCCATCTGCCGAGATGTGTAGGGTGTTACCCAGGTGTACTGGTACATTCAGCTGCTGTTGTGGACAGACGATAGTAGCTGGTACCCGTTTACGAAGTGACCCTAAAGCTACATTTACACTAGACGCGATAACTACACGACAACGACATTCATCACGTCCTTTATATTTTTCAACACCGAGCGCATTTGTATCGTGTCGTTATCGTGTCTAGTGTAAAGGTAGCCAGGGAAGTCACTGAACGAGCTAAATCCACGATTCGAGCGCTTTGAGACTTCAGTGGTGTAAAGCGCTATATAAATCTAATACATTACATTACAACATATGTACTTGATAGGCCTAAATGTAAATAATTATAAATGTATCCTACTGCGACGGTATTACATACCTCATGGAAACGGAAATAAGTGCAGGTTTATGAAAGAATTATAAAATACAGCAATTAGCAACAAGTGTATTCTCAGTAGCACATTCAATCAATCAGTCAATCAATCTGAATCAATCATTCAATTTTATTCAAACGTATTTTTTCATCAAAAGAATCACAATGTTTAAAAAAGGGGGAAAACGCACTAGTGGTGCACATTGACACCCTAAATATTAATTTATTATTCAAGAAACCCATACAACTTTCAAAACAATAGTCTTGGATTTAATCCCAAATTATGTATTAATATTAAAACTGGATAATCTAATAACAATGGGTGAAATACAAATTGCTAATATATTATAAGTAGGCTTACAGTATCAATTTCGATTCTCCATTTAGACAGAATGGCAAACCACACATATACTTAGTTGATAACGATAATGAGATATCAATAAACAATTTTCGAGTACTGGCCGATTATCTATGTATTCAAATAAAAAATTGACTTAATACAGACTAGGTGAACGTGTTTAGGCTCTCCACATTATCTCACGTATTTTATATAGATAATATAATGGAATATGCCCCAGTGTCTTGCTTTCCTTGCTACCCAAAAAAAGTGATGTATTTTTGGCATTACTACATCTAAGCCCTTCTAATTCCATTAAGCTTGTAGCTCAGCTGTCCACATCAATGCGACTAAAATGTGATATGCCCATATTTGGGTGTAATGACATCATCATGCCCATATATGGGCACATCACACAAACTTTTTTGCTTTTTTTTTACTAAAATCCTTGCACTGCCCCGACGCATTCTGGAACGCTCCCTGATCCTGACCAATCAGCGTCGCTAAAGGAGGCGGCGACAGCGTGTAGCGATTTTTATGGAAACCAGGCTTTAAGCTGATTGGTGGTCGGTCGAATCGAGGAGCGCAGTTCAACGAATGAACTGAAAACAATGTAGCGATTGTATGGAAACCAGCTTAACTCTCTCGTATGAAATTCATTTGTTTGTTTTACAAAAAATGAAAGTTTCAAATATGCTTTGATAAAATGTGTGTTTTTTTTAATGGTAATATAACACACCTTAGATTGTAATCTACGATTAAACACTTTCTTGATCTACCCAAGTCGCTCCCATGGTGTTTTTATTTTCTAATATGTAATTAAGTTAAATAATGTTTCCCAGACATCTAATTCTAAGATTCACGAGACAGACATCTATCAACAAGACAAATTACCATCACACTGTATAATTTATATAAGGAACATCAGAATACAATTTTCAAGCATCTAGCTTATAGCTTCTAATGTCAAATTCTAAAACTCACCCACAATATTAATTTCGGAAAATTGATTTCCATATAGTAATACAAAAGTACAAGTGCAAAATTTTTAGGCTACCTAATGAAACTTATTATTTTATTACAATGACATCTTTGTACATGTATGAAGGGAATTCAAAGATATAGGCCTATAGACTTAAACTACTCAAAACCAAGTACTGTACTTATTATTGGTGATTTAATGATAGGTCACATGACCTTCAATACTTCATGACCTCGGTTAACCTGGCAGCATCTCTATGCAATTATCAAATCGATTTACAAATATTTATATTAACACATACTTTCTAAATGCGCCTAATTCCATACACTTGTAAAATCGTCTTAATATCAATAGACCTCTTTCCGCAGTGTCAATCAACAACTGACCAATCAGAACAGAGCCTGGAATACGCGCGTGTATCACAAACACGTGCTGTCCCACAAACGCATGTGTCTGCGTCTGTTTTTACGCTGTCGTTTAGACCTTAGCAACAATATCCAAGGGGCGGGGCTTAGCCGAATGGTAAATTTTTCTACATTGGCGGACTGTATCATAATCACCTTTGAGATCTTCTGTTGTTAAAACATGACTTAAGGCGCATTCACACCGACTCCGAATTTTCGGATCGGAAATCCCACAGACGAAGCAATCAGAAAATAATCAGTGTGTAAACGGGGCTCGAATTTCGGTTCAAATCCGATGTGATTGCAGCTTTAGCCTTTAATGATAAACTTCACATAAGTTAAACATGTACCACATAGGGTATTAATTAGATCACTCAAAAGTCCTCATTTTAGGAAGAACTAAAGTACATATGAGGTACCTATACACTTCTAACAGCAGTCGAATAAAGGAACAATATAAACGCGTTAACTTGCTGGGCCTTTCATTGGAAGTTCGAGTCCGAATCGAGGCAAACAAACTATATATGAACAATATAAATAGCATAACACCTAGGCCTAATTACAGTTGTCTGATGATCGCCATTAAGCGTGAAACTCGGAGTAACAACTCATATTTATACCTAGCGTAAATATACTATAGGCCTATATATATACTGTCTCTTATACACATCTAGATGTGTATAAGAGACAGTCCCTGTACAGTCCTAAGTTGGAATTATATATATTTATATATATACTATATATATATATTTATATATATATGTTTATATATATGTATGTATATATAGGAAACAACATGAATTTATATAGGTCTATATATATTTATAAATATATATACATATTGTGTATAGTAACATAACAGATGACACACAAGTTCCCCGTTTTGTATATTGCATAACACTGACAATAACACTAAATATATTTGTGTTTCAACATTGATTGAACTAGTAAAAGGAAAAAATAATGACATCCAGTAGTCTACATCTTCATATCTTCACTCGCTATATTTTCCAATCCGTATGCGTTTGTTTTTTCTCTGTGTACAATTCGACTTGTTGTGAGATACTCCAGTCTCTGTGGGGAAGATTCCACATTAAAACTTTAATTGGCCTTTGTTTTGAAATTCAATGCAAAACGAAAAATGGACAGAAGTTGTCATCATCACAAATGTTACAATTCGGAAATGAAAATGGTGCGGAATAATGAATGGATAAAATGAATTGTAACAATAATAAGATCAACCATCACACCACAACAATAATAATATTAATATCCATGATAATGATGATGGTGGAGGTAGTACCGGTAACGATTATGATGATGATAATGGTTGTGGTGATTATGATAAGGATGACGATGATTATATTTATGATGCAGGGGTGGCGCCAGCGGGGGGCCGGGGGCAAGGGCCCCCATTCGGGGAGAAAAAGCACAATTCGTCGGGGAAAAAAAAATATATACGTATTTTCTACATATTAGTAGACTATAAAATCGATTAAATAAGTCTTTAAAACCCCTAAATTGTCAAAATTTTCGGGGGTTTCGCCCCCAGGATTACTTTCGAAACCTTTTAATCGAAGCTCGACCATGCCCACTTTGCTTTCGTCGGGGAAATCTGACCCCTCGTCGGGGCATTGGCCCCCCCTCGTCGGGCAAATCTTGGCGCCACCCCTGTTATGATATCAATGAAAATAACAATAGAAACCACAATAAAAATAAAACCAATGATAACAATAATGACAATAACGACAACAACACAAGCAATACTAATTAGGCCTAACATTTAAAAAAATTGTCAAGATATTTGGTTATACTAACCTCCCCCAAGGTACCGTCTGCATGAAAGAATTGAACGGCTGCTACTATTGGTACCATCACCATGGATGAAACAGATAAAAGCCATCCAAAAATGTACCCACCCATCGGGTACACGTAATTGTCGTCAAACGATGCATATTCCAACTTTTTGTACTTGATTAGACCAAACAGAAATATTCCCTGCAATAAGAATTCAACGATTTACTGTCTGTTTCAAGCAATAACTAATAAACCGTAAATATTAGCTTTCAGAAAGGGTGGTGCCAGTAAGTGGGCCAGCTGAACCCCGAGCCCAGCCGTCGGGACGCACTGACCAGCCATTGGGAATTCATAGTAGGCCTAAATCTTTCCGTGGAAAATACTATTTCGTAGTGTGAACTGCGCATGCCAGTATCCAGGGTCAATCGACCTAAATCTGTCGAATGCATTGGAGTTAGCGCTCTGGTATTCTTATTGTAACTTCATGGTATCCGGATGGTGTATGTTTTCTAATATTTCGATTGACCTTAATACGGGCATGCGCAGTTCACACTACGAAATAGCTTATTAGAAATAATGTTCTAAAGCCAGATACAGAGCATAATACCATACTGCCATAGTCAGAATAACCACACACATTGATTCTGGCGCGATACCGGACTCTGGGTTGATCACAAGTTGAACCCATTTCCGGGTAAGCCTATCAAGAGAACCAATCAGTAATTCTGATCAGTAGGCCTATGTACGCAATCCGATTTTTCCGAAATCGGATCCGAAGTGAATGCAACTTAAACCTTTGGATGGTTGCTGATCGACTGTATACATACCACTGTGAAGCATGGAGTGCAAATTGTCCAGCAAGTTCTAAGCCAGTATCCTCTAACTCGTCTCCCTAACATCTCCTCAAAATGGTTTAAAAAGCGTCTTGATCCTAGATATAGAGGTAAAAAAAATACCAACTGTGGATTCGAATATTCATGTCGACCGTATGCATTAATACTAATTGTATAATGGGCAACATTAGAAATAACATTTACCATACACCCAGCCGATTGCAATGGCCTCAAAAAAAGCTAACCACAGCAGCGTCGATCCACTTGCAGCGTAGAAGTCAAATAATTGGAATACATACATCCCACCCTGCAGAAGAAGGAAATTTATTACACAATTTTTTATTTATAGGACAACATTCGTTCAGAGCTATGCTACACGATGTATTATCATGTCCTTTATTTGAACATTTTATTTACCTTTTTTTGATGATTTATATATAATTTAACAGTGTTAACGGCTATCTAGATTTATATTGTATGCTACTATTTGTTTACAGCCGTACCTATTGTGTAATAGAATTTATCTGACGGTTATTTGAATATGTTCAACCACAAGGGTAGCGCCCGGTCGGGGAGAGCAGCACCCCCCCCCCCGTCGGGGAGAAAAAGCACAATTCGTCGGGGAGAAAAATTATATGTATTTTCTACATCCCCTGGACCACTTTCGATTTAACCTTTTAATCAAAGCTCGAACACGCCCACCTTGCTTTCGTCGGGGAAATCTAACTCCTCGCGTCGGGGGAATCGGTCCTCCTCGTCGGGGGAATCGCCCCATCCCCCGCCGGGGACCTCGGCCCTCGTCGGGGGAATCGCCCCACCGCCCGCCGGGGACCTCTGCCCCTCGTCGGGTAAATCCTGGTGCCACCCCTGTTCAACCATGAAGCCTCTGTGGTCTAATGCTTGTGACGCTCGCAGGTTCGAATCTCGTCAGAGGCAATTTATTACACAATTTCTTTATTTGTTTATAATACAACATTCGTTGAGAGCTATGCTACATTTATAATAATTTAACAGTGTTAACGGCTATCTTGATTTAATTATATATATATATATATATATTTATTTATATATATATATATATATATATAGGCCTATAATTTGTAAATTCCAATTACTGTAGGTCTATATCCAATCAATCAATACAAACACTATCAAATCCCAATTGTTCATGACCTTATATTGTTTAAATTCATTACAATATTTCAATGTTAATTTCTTTCTATAAAATAAATATTTTTTCGAAAGTTTCTTTGCTTTTGAAAACACATGAATTTTGAAACAACATAAGATTAGTTAAGTATTTTTGAATCGTCGAAGATCATTTGAATATTTTTTGCCATAAGCCTACCTTTTGATCTACTCCGTAATCAGTTAAAAGATTTTTTTTTAAATACAAGAAAAAATAGGATATTAGATTTATTTTTCTTTCTGAAATCATAGAATAACGCAAAATTCTTGAAATAACGAGAAATTACGGTTAAAATAAATTACCAAGTAAAATGATCGTTAAAATATAAATCCGTAAATCACAGGCCTGGTCAACATGACATCAACAGCTAATGTGTTAAATACTAGTTTATTATAAGTTTATTATTATACCATCTGTACAGTAGATTCAAACTTACGTATGTAACCATAGATAAACCAACGAGGAACGACCAGAAACAGACGATTGCAATGAATATCTCCTTGCGATACCCTCGTCGGAGGTACTTGGGAAACAAGTCTACAATCGCAGTGATAAATCCTTCTACTTGTACAAACTACAGCAAAACGAAATATACTTGAGTTTTTGTTAACAAATTCGTTGGGTTAAAATAGTAAAAAGATGGTGATTTTCATACAATTGGAAGAAATGTTTAGAAGCTTCAATCAGGCCTGAGACGATTATCGAATTATTATCCTTATTATAATTATTATCATACAAAATTCATTAAAATAATTACAATAATAATTATCACAATCACCATCATTATTTCAAAATCATCGAAATCGCAATTATTACCTTAATCAGAATAATATAAAAATAAAATATCATCATCCTTATTATTATTACCATTACCATAATCACCACCATTACCACAACTACCATCATCATCACTAACATCTCTACCGCGACCAACATCATCATGCCCACTATCAACGGCATCTCCACCATCAACATCATCACCATCACCATCATCAAAATCTCTACCATCAACATCATCATCATTATCATCATCATCATCTACACCAGTGCTTCCCAACCTTTTTGCTTTCGCGGAACCATTTGGATATGTAAAAATTCTTCACGGACCTCCATGTCTAAATTTTACTCATTGTCCATACCCCAACAATTTGATTGTAGATAGAATATGATTCGCCACGAAAGTACAATGACAAATAAACCACCTCAGACCTACCATGGCCGGCTGAGGTACAAAATTTGTATGTCTACGGCACTTCTAGATCGCGGGAAATGGCACTGTTAGACTTAAAGGTAATTTAATCCCCCATTTGATAATAAATTTGTAAAATTTAGGGCGACTCAGGGTTGATATTTCCACAATAAGATTCTATGTATAAAACATAATTCGCCAAATTACGACATCTTCGATCTTGGAATTCGACATAGACAGGAGGGGAGTTGGTGCAGACTGTAAATTTTCCAGATGGGATTCACACTACCTCAGTTCCACCATGGGTGCGGCTGAGGTACGAAATTTGTATGTTTATGTTTGTTTGTTTTTTAAATAATACGGTTATAACAAGTTGTATATTTTTTAGCAGACTTCCTTTAACGCCATTTTTATACACGGAAGATTGGACCGTCAATTATGAGTTTTGTGTTTGGTCAATGCGTTTTGAATTTTAATTCAATTCAGTAATGATTAAAAATTCATCCATCTTAAAATGTTTACCTAACGAGTTGTCTAAACGTTCTATTACTCCATTGATATAGGCCTATTTCATTGTCTAATTAAAGAAAATGAAAACAAGTGATTTTTTTATATAAGGTAAATTCATCAATAATATGGTTTATGGTTTTATATTTATATAGCGCCTTCCACGATCGAAACCGTCTCAAGGCGCTTGAAAAATATACGTGAATAATGTATGGAAATAAACAGCAATCTACCTAATTTCAGTCGTGTAATCTCAATTATTTACATTTATTACTTAGGCCCACTGGTGGACTGGGACCCAAATAGTTACCTGTCTAACCAGGGAGGTAGAAAAATACTCTTATACTTCCCTATTCTAACCAATCTAGCCGGGTGCTAGGGGCCATGGGAAGCGCTCGTGTTTAGACACTAAATGGTATTAGAGACAATTAAATACCATTCCTTCAACATCATCATCGACCATCATCAATATCATCGTCATCGTCATCGTCTTCGTCATCACCACCATCATGATCATGATCATCATCATCTCCACCGCCATCATCATCATCATCATCATCCCCATCACGACGATCCTCATCATATTCAAGTCTGCTTACCTCACTGTCAATTCCAAGTAATAATATCATGAAGAAAAACATGAATGACCATAGTGGAGCCACGGGCATCTGCGCTATTCCTTCGGGATACACAACAAATGCTAGGCCTGGGCCTAAATGAAGGAAATAATCATTAAACATATCCTTCTATGCTCACCAAGTTTTGAATTAGGAAATCACGAGTAGAAAAAAAATGATTGTAAAACTGTGTTCCTGTCCTTTAGTCCGCTTACTGTTTAAACATTCTTTGCCGAATTGCTTCTACTCAGAGGTTTATGGAGAGTGACGTAACCGGGGTTGGGGGAGGGTGCTGAAAGTGCCTGAGCACCCCCTTTTAGTTCAAACTTGAAATATAAATAAATACATAAATAGCAAAAGTAAGTTACTTTTAACAACTAATTCATAGCCATCGATATGCTCCGTTCCTAGTTTTGCGCCTTGAGTGAAGTCCATGAATATGCACCACCCCCTCCCCCTTCCCCTTTTTCAAAATCCTGGATACGCCACTGACGGATTATTCTGGTCGTTTTGAAATTAAGCACAGTAACGGGATAGATCCGATGTTCACAGGATTTTCTTTAAATTATATTATTGCAATTAGGCATAACAGTGGCAGTTTCATGAATTTGAAATAGAGGGCCTAGAGAGGAAGATGAAGGGTACAACCTCAGCCCCACCATGGTTGGGGCTGAGATAGTAACATTTATGATTACGGCATCTCTAGATGGCCGGAAATAGCACAGATTCAAAATTCGAGTAGAATTTTCTTTTTTTTTCTTCTTTTTTTTTTTTATATTTTGAAAAATTTAAGGGCTGCCCCTCCCCCCTCACCCTTGAATCCGCCACTGCATCCTGAGCTCTACATAATGACGTAGATGGAGTTTGGTTGCTAGCACCTATCTTGACATGACGTCAATCTGCACATAAGTGTGACATCATCCTGTCTGTATGTGTTTGCCAATCCTACTTACCAGATCTTGCAACTTCATCAACGGGAATATTTTGAGTTACCGACATAAATCCGATTACAGAGAAGATGACGATTCCAGCATAAATACTAGTCCCAGAGTTGACGAACGCGAACAGCACGCAATCCCTATATTGATAAAATTTGAGAAAAAAAAAAAGAAAAACCTTCTGTTATCACCGCGAGCTACAAATGGACCTTTCCGCTTAGCCCCACCTCATGCAAATTGTTGCTAAGGTCCCTTAACACGACAACATAAACGGCGTACATAGAACACGTGTTTGTTGGACATGCGCGTATTCCTAGACCTGTTATGATTGGTCCAGTTGTTTGATTGACACTCCGGAAAGGTCCACTGTAATTATTGATAGGGATATTTCTTTAAGAATGACATCGTGTATCATGGATTGTGTATGCATAAGGTGTACTTGGTATGAGCAAAAATGCAACCAGCGAACAAGATGAAAGAGTCCACGTTCCAAAACACACCGGCATCTACCAAATTCACGTCAATCAAATCTAAGCGCTAAAGAGAGGCCTAAGAAAGTTTCATATTCTTTTAATCCTCAGTAAGCTATAAAAACCAACTAGCTAATTAAAAAAAAAAGGAGTTAGAGGACAATTTTGAAAGGTATAATAGGCGATACATCTAGGCCTATGCTTGATACTAGTATTTAAAATAAAGATAGCGTTATCCTAAAAGGTGTCTGGCTAAATATGTTTTATAGGTCTACAAAATTACTTTAAAATAAACTATTAATTTTTAAGGGAATTTAAACTTTTTATATTTAAATAGAACCTATGTAGGCCAAATAAAGGTATCATAGGTTCGGAACTTAAGACTGAATCTTAAAAATCAAAACAAAAATCCATTATTTTAATAAAAATTTATTTGATGATTAAAGAAAACCATCATTGTTTGATAAAAGAAAAAATACGGGGGTTTATTTTCATATCCTGTTTAATAGGCCTATTAAGAAATATATAAGTTGTGTTTGGTTCTAGTCCTCAGACAGTAACGCATAGCAGTCAACTGTCTTCGAACGAGCAATACCTCCAGAAATTATGGTTGAACTTGTTAAAACTGCTGAGGGCGCACCACGTGCCAACTCCGATGGAATAAGAGTAAAATGTCTGGGTGGCCGCATCCATCCATACCTTTAAAAGTTGATAGTTATGATAATAGGAATCCAATGAATATCAATAAAACGTAAATATGCTATCAAACTGCTCTGTTCTTTGTTCTGGTAGGCATAATAGGGAGTCGTTTGCGCGACGATGCGACGCTAGAACGGATTTACTCGTACGTGACCGTCTTTACGTTGTCGTTCTCTGCACAACGTAGATTCGGTCAAATTTCGTCCTAGAATCCACGCGATCTCACATGCGTAGATGACTTTTTTGTGACATCATTACGTTCTACGGCATCGTGCAATCGAAAGCTCCCTAATAGCAAAAATATAAAACGTGTGGATTACCTGTGATTCTTTTAAAGAGGTCATATTCGGCTTGAGATAGAACTCGAGTCCAACGCCAGCGCCCTCAAGCGTTACAGAGCGGACCAAGAGGATGGTAAGTAGAATGTAAGGAAATGTTGCAGTAAAGTAGACAACCTGTGCCAAGTAAAACGGAAATTACTAAAAACTAAAAGGGGAAAAATAATTGGCTGTTTTCGCAAAGCAAACACCATCGTGGTCGTCATCTCTAGACGTTGCTATCGCCATAATCATCGTCATCATAACCATCCTCATCATCTTTACCATCACCATAATCATTATCATCATCATTCATCATAATCAACGTCAACATCATCTTTATCACCACTATAACTATTGTTATCGTTATCATCCTAATATTATTATGTAGGCCTACATCCTCATCACTGCCACCGTCGTGTTTTCATCATCCTTCGTCAACATAATTGTCACTGTCACCGATCATTGTGTTTCTATATTTTAATATAATAATTACTCGTCATTATATGAAAAGAAATAGGTGTATTCAAGTGTCAGAAAGGAGTGTTGCATCAATGTCATTCACTTCTCGTTCAAACTGAACCAGAACTTGAGAAATGGAAGGGCGAGCATCGTAATTACCCACCACAGCTCACAACATTTCATACCACCTATAATGTAATTACGCTTATTTCAAAGTCTACGGACACAATGTAAAACCGAGATCCTCAATAAACTGAACAACTGAAAAACTGTAACAACATAAGCCATCAAAGTTTCGATCTCACGAAGTGAATATCAGCCCATACTTCAGATTAATTAAGAAAAATATATTGACTTTTACCGCCGTTTTTCTCCTCCACGGCAGCTGTCTTCTTGTAAGGATCATGTGCATTGGCTAGCCTTGTCTCGGTCAGGTGTTTTGCGGTGTTCGACCATTTATACACTACAGACGCATCGGTACTAAAGAGATTAGCGTCTGGACTTATGGTTTGATAGGCGTTACGTTTACTGGTTATTTTGGATTAATTCGTCCCCTATATCTGTCTCTTATCCACATCTAGATGTGTATAATAGCCAGCCTATGTAGGCCAAAAACTGTAACAACATAAGCCATCAAAGTTTCGATCTCACGAAGTGAATATCAGCCCATACTTCAGATTAATTAAGAAAAATATATTGACTTTTACCGCCGTTTTTCTCCTCCACGGCAGCTGTCTTCTTGTAAGGATCATGTGCATTGGCTAGCCTTGTCTCGGTCAGGTGTTTTGCGGTGTTCGACCATTTATACACTACAGACGCATCGGTACTAAAGAGATTAGCGTCTGGACTTATGGTTTGATAGGCGTTACGTTTACTGGTTATTTTGGATTAATTGACGTATTGTCTATAAATACGATGGTCGGTTCGTTCGTTGTTGAGCGTAGGCCTATCGATTTTTTGCTTTAATATAAACATTGGCCGTATTCGACGGGTCGTTCGTCGTTAAACCATGCCTACCTGCGCATTGGTAAAATCCTACTTAACGAAGACGACCAGTCGAATAGAAAACTTGTAAATACTCGACAAAAAACAATGGCTGCTGAGACAGCAATACACGCTGCGTAATCAAGATTGCTTCGGCTTGTGGCAGTGTGGGTTTTTCTTTAAAAAAAATGTTTTTCATCCAGTTTTTTAATTCTGTTAGCCTACAATTATTTTTTTGACTTCATGTGGGTAAATATTATTTTATTTTTTGAAATTTAATCTAAATTATCGTTTCTAAACTGACCAATCGATAACTTAACGCTGATTAACGCACTCTGGTTTTTGGCCCTGTCATACCTTGACGATTATAGCCAGCGTATACCGATAAGTAATCAAAACGTTCTATATAAGTTACCAATACATTATTTATACGTCCAATACGTTATGAATACGATAATGCGCCCAAAGTTGAAAAAAAGCACCGATAGCTCAGCGTATACCAGCGTTTTAGAGAAATGTTGATACGTTTGGCATACGCTGACTAAATCAAGGTGTGAAAGGGCTTTTACTTTAATTTTCGTTGTCCACGAAGACCGTTTTACGAACCAGTCGAATGAAAATAATACTCAACGAAAAATCGTAGCCAATTAAATGAACCAGTCGAATAATTTCTTAGTTAAGCCTCACAAAAATAGTTTCTGAACGATCTTTTCATTTATTCTCACTGACTGTTTACGTGGCACCGCGAATTACGAGTGCGGAAAAATATTATTACATTACATCGAGTAAATACTGAGACAACAATACGTTGGTTCTGTTGGTTTTTGTCCATGCTAGTTATTCGTAAAAAAAATGTTGCTTGTTTTTCTTTATTCGAACTGATCAGCATTTATATAAAGTATATATCTTCAATAAACAATCACTTGTCAAAATTGCTACTGCTACTATGCTACTATAGGCCTTTGCTAGTGGTTTTAATGTTAAGTATAGGGAATTGAAAGAACAAAAAGACCATGGATAATCGTGCCGTCGAATTCCGTTCCGCTGCCTTTTGTTGCGCCCTTGTACTGTACTTAAAATGTTGTCTATTACTTTAAATAATAAATCCGCTTGGTATTTATATTGCATTTGTTGATACACGATCTCTCAATCCTGAAAAGACCCGATCAGCAGGTTTACCTTAACCATTTGCCACGGCATTGGTTCTCAGCAGCGACAGCGCTTCATCAAGGTCTCCAGCTCCGGTGTTACGAAACTGCATAACTGTATAGGCCTATCTCTAAAGAAAAGAGCTAGGCCTTTTTTTTCATGTATGTAATTAACCAATTGAAGTTAGACGTTGTTGCCCAACGTTCTAAATTTGGTAGGGGGGAGGTCTTAACACGTTTGGTTTTGGTTGTTAACCTGCTGACCTGTTACCCTTACCCCTATCCCCCGTCGAGGAGTAAAAAATGTAGGCCTATACATATATTAGTAGACCCCAAAACCGATTAAATAAGCCTTTGACGCCCACGCCCACATTTTTTCGTCGGGGACATCGGCCACCTGTCGGGAGAATCCTGGCGCCACCACTGCTCAGCCCACCATGGTTAGTGAGAAAATTTTGAATGGCTCTTCGAGATGCTCGGATACAGCAAATTCATACTTTTAAAAAGTTGAATGTCCTTACTTTTATTTTAAATTGTGGCAAGTAAATCAGAGCTCAAGCCAGCTTTATCCGTACGCCTTGTGGTGTTGGCAGTTTGGCCGTCTCCAACCACAAATTTTATATTAAAATTTATTCCTCTACAATACCTTGAGAAGAACGTGTCCTAATGGGAAAACCCAAGGGTGTATAACACTTGGCCTCATAGCTCAGCTGGTAGAGTATCCGAACGGTAAACGGCAGAGATTATGCCACCTCTAGATGGCCAGAAATGCCCCTCTCAGACTTTCAACATAATTTTCTTGTTTTCTCAATTTGTTATTAAATTTTGGAAAAAAAATTGGGGGGGGGGAGCTTTGCTCCTTTGAATCTACCACCGAGTTGAATTGGAAAAATAATAGATACAGATAGGTATCATAAAAAACAACGTTTGTACTTTTAAGGATAATTTTTCAAACATCCCCGGAGGACATCTTTCAGTATTTCTTGTATCAGTCATTAAAATCGGTGCTAACCTTGTTGCACCACGTGGTCTAACGGACGCAGTGGCGGATCCAGGAATTCAAAATAGAGGAGGCCCGAGGAGGTACTTTCACAGATGGAGGATCTATATCACCTAACCCCTCACCAGGTAAGATCATTGTGGTCACGGCACTTCTAGAAATTGCACTCTCTGACATAAATTTGAATATAATTTTCTTCATATCTTCATGTTTTAAAAAATGTTGAACTAGCTATTAATGAGTGGGGAGGGGACGGGCCGCACCGCCCCCCCCCCCCCACACCCTTGAATCCGCCACTGGGGACGTACTAAACAGTTTGCAGCATGTAAACAAGGAAAATGTATAGACACCGAAAGCGGCTCAGCTTGATCATGATATGGATGCTTAGGCCAATGATGTCATAATTAAAAAGATTATCAGTACTACTCACAGAGTGCGATTGGTGCAGAGGTTCGCAGTTCGGGTAATCAACCATGATTTTGGGGTTTCGTGCCCTCACTGAGAACTTGCACTTGTGTCCTAGGCATGAACTCCTAAATTTATATTCTTATACATTAGTATCTCCCTTTATGTAAACCACTTTGCTTTAGTTGCACAAGAACCGTAAATGAAGGAAGATACTTTATGAGGAATAGTATATATTATAGTAATGGTTTCTCCTCATCGTCCAAGTTCATTAAGTGCACTCTCATGCGTACGATCGTATGCAAATGAGGTTACGCGCTGTGTAACAGCCAATGACAGAATATTTCACACCTGGATTTTCACTTGATAGGAAGTTAGAGTATTGGCTTTTCAGAAGTCTATAGTCTAACACCCGATTCTCACACGCATTATTATACGTGGTATATTTCAAATTATATATCCATTTATAATGTTTTGTGTAAGAAATAAAAAAATGATAAAAATAATTTTTGAAATTTAAAACACTGAAATAACGATTAACATAAGAAACATTAATAGTATAGAGACAGGCATGTGTGGATGCTGTCATTACCTTCCCAGTGCTTTTGACTCCCTTCCAAATGCAGAAGTAAATAATGACCCACGCTAGAGCAAGGCAGCCTACCATCGGCCAATTCAGACCTGCTGGATCCCCAAAACCATCAGATAGATGTATTTTTAGCACGTTACGCCTGAAATAATAATTTAAAAAAATTATTAGCGGCAAATTAATGTTGCTATCGCGACGTCTGCCAATGCGATTATCATCATCATCATCAGAGAATGAATATTGAGAATGAGTATTGCCAGTCTCTTGATATTTTGTGGGCTTGCATTTATACTTTACGCCTGTTGAACACGTAAACGTTCTGAGCGCAATTGGATGTGCTTGTTGCGCAACGTGGGTTAATCCCCTTATAAAACTGGTTTCACAGGTTGCGATGTTTTGCTTACGACAGGCTGCGCTACGACAGGACTTATTTAGGAAATTTAACGAGGGGGTTTCGCCAGAAAAGAGGGGGTTTGCTAGAAAAGGGGTTCTCCCGTACCATAAACCTTGCCCCCTGGAGTTGGGGCAAGATTTTAAGAGGTAGTATTACAGGACTTTGATAGTCATATATGGAATCGTTTTGAACATGTTCAATGTTAACAAAAATTGTACTCGTAAGTGTCGTACCATATTTTAAGCAAAATCGCAAGTGCGAAACCAGCTTAACGTACTTGCTTAGAATACAAGAAGCCTTGAATTACGTCACGACTAATATCACGTTGGTAACATTGTTAATGGAGCGATCATACGTTATGAATAGACCAAAAAGGGAAACTACGCTATTTTGCTTGAACATGCTATCCTTTTCAACTCAAAACGAGTGGTAGGTCAACTTTGATTATATTTTAGGCCTGCTGCAATACCGTATTATTAAAATAACCTGGATCCTCAGGCACGTAATTTAATCTTATTTTTGGATTAGATGAACCATAATGAAAAGTACTACATTTACAATTCAATAATTCAATCAATCAATCAGTCAATATAGACAACAGGGGAAAGGAAATGAAAGACACTTACTTACGGTATGACTCAAATCTCAAGGAGATATTTAAAAGTATTTGGGAGACAAAGAATTTAGTTTTAATCCTGGCAAAATAAAGTTACATTCGGGCATTAAAAAATAAGTCATTGGTAGTTCTTTATTTTCCATTGGTATAGGCCTATAT